CACCTTCCATTCTTCAGTGCTTTGTAAGTTGAGGAATGCAATAAACAAGCTGTAAACAGTATACGTTAATGGATTTATCTGCATGCTTCCTAAAAGACACGCTCTCTTCGCTGTGAACGGATAGCCACCAATAATTTTCGCTGCTTCCCTTGCCAAAGCCATCGGCGAATGATAGATATTGTTAACTCTTAGTTTGTTGGTACTAAGGAAGTGCTGGATTTCAGTGATTTCATCATGAAGCTAAGCCATGGGAAACGGTCGAGAATCATTGTACAGCTATTTCGTCCTTGTTAGGAAGCATCAGCCGTGCTCATCTTACAAGCCCCCAGGGAGATTCGAGGCCGCGAAATCCATGAGTAACTAATTAACGGTGTGATTACCTTACACTTAGACAGGAAGAAGCTTCAGTCATTCTGCAACCATACAGCTCACGTCACGTGACTTACATTGAATGGCTTCTAGATTGACCGCCTGTCAGATGGAATTCCAATTCGACTTGTATGATTCCGGTCCTTTATGGGTTACTTGCCCTTCAAGGCAATGAGGAAGGAGAATACTCAAGTTTTGGTTGCATATTGATTTTCACGTGATTCACTTCGGTCGTAGACCACGTGACCATATTGCACAGACCAAACAATATTCGGAGGGATACATCATGAAGTACCCATTGGAAAGACCGAGTAACTCCACGTTAAAAAATTACGACCCTCTAACAATTTTGCTAAAGTGCTGCAGCTTAGAGAAGATACTAACCGAAGACGGCAAAGTAGGTCCTCAGGATGCGGTCCCCGTGACCCGTCTGTGCGTGGCTGGAGACGTTGCAAGAAATGGCGGCTAATCGATGTCAGTTGTGCACATGCTGTCAGTTACTTTTCAGATTGTCTGATTGAGTGTTTGGAGATGTAGGCATCTCAGATTGCTTCACATAGGCCAGCACTAGGTCCCCTTCCCCACCCACTCTTTTTCTCTTCTTTTCACTGTAGGGCAGCTAGCATAATTATATACATATATATATATNACCAAATATCGTTACCAGGTTGATATTTACCAATACTCTCTCGAAGACAAACAATCTACTTGTGTGCAATTAGTAGGCATTTTGACACCGTTTGTCTTATTCCAGAGTCACGTCAGAAAAAGTTGCACATCCACAGGGTGTTTAGGAGGACGGGGAAATAACACCAATCAAATACACCAATATGACGGAGTCCAACTGATTGGGACGGTAACTCAGAGGGTACTCAGTAAGAGACTGTGACAAAACATTTCGGTCTGAGGTTGTGTAGTTGCAATGCACCTTGCACATATATTGGAGTACTATTATTAAAAACCACTCGTGGTTTTCCAATAGAGTTATGAACCCCTGAGTCGACCACTCTCAGAAGAGAATTCCAATGGAAAGAATTGTGTTCAATCGCTGCGGGTAAGATGGATCATGGGACGAGATGGTCCCATTGATTAGAGCGCAAATTTACCAACTGGAAAGACCGTGGTTTGAACCCGACTTCGGCCTCTCGACTTCCCCTGTCTAAGCTTGGGCAACCTGACAGTATCCCAGCCCTCGTGCTTCCTTCGGGTGGCATGGCAACTAGGCACCGAAAGGGTGTTACAGCCAAACGATTGTTCTTATTCTAACCATTATCACCAGGTGATTAATTCATGGATTGGAACCTGGTAAATCTTCTAAGGATACGTCAAAAGCTGAGACATTCCCATTGACTGCTTCTTAGTAATTCTTCGACAAGCTCGAAATACAATCAGTCTATCATTGTGGTTTCGTAAAGTCAAGGAGCGGAGTCTGATAGGAGGCTTGAATTGCGTAAAAATACAAGACATGAAGTACATCCTACACATCTTATACGAATCCTTATACCCTTAGCTGATTAGATCAAACAAAGCCATATTCTGGCCGAATCCCACTTTCTTCCATCATCAAAAAGATAATTCGCTCCATCCAAAGCACTGCCATTTTCATCTGTTCAAACGAATTACTGTGTTAGTTTCACACAAACATAATGTGGATCGAGTCTTTCTGCTCACAAATGCCTGATCACGACTAGTTGTCTACAGTGGTTCGCGTGATTCGGATGAATATTTTCTTAAAGAGATGGGCTACCAGGCACGATACTGTACACTCTTCGGAAAGCAACTAGCCTCTTAATGTGTCCATTTCAGATTGGTTAACTGCCAGCCGGAATACCTTGGTTGAGTTGTATAATTCTCCCGGTTTTATTGAGCTAATTACATAACTCGGCATACGTAGCACACATAACATACATTTTAGACATGAGATAGACAAGTTTAGACCGTCTGTTTAATCATAGACCTTATCAAATATGTGAAGTGCAAATAGAGTGACAAAGTTGAATTGTGAAGACTCGGGTTCAGAGACTGTTGAATATGTAAACTTGGATCGCTTAGAAGTTTAGACATAGACGCAAGACAAGTAAGAGAATCGTGGACTCCATAAAACGATGGGATGCACTGCTGGAATAGATAAGTCTTTTGGCTTGATTTTGAAGACGACCATTGATTTTCTTCGCTGAAGCCAGTTTATGGAATACTGGCTGGACGATGAATCCAATAATTTGTGAGGCCACTGGAAAAAAGCTACAACGAACGCACGCGAGAAGCCTTCAAGAAGTATGTAAAATGAAAGCCGACGGTAAGACTGTCGCCGAACTCGCTCCACTCTGTACTATTGTTTCACTGCATGAAACTTTAGCATAGAAGCTGACAAGACTTGTGAAGGAACCTCAGGCTTCCAGCTGCCTAATTAGAGTGCTCGCTGGACAAGTTCTAACTGAAATGCACAACATCGAGGTAGACTATATGTGTCAAGCCTGACGTCGCAAGAAAGAACTGTGATAGGACACCTTCCATTCTTCAGTGCTTTGTAAGTTGAGGAATGCAATAAACAAGCTGTAAACAGTATACGTTAATGGATTTATCTGCATGCTTCCTAAAAGACACGCTCTCTTCGCTGTGAACGGATAGCCACCAATAATTTTCGCTGCTTCCCTTGCCAAAGCCATCGGCGAATGATAGATATTGTTAACTCTTAGTTTGTTGGTACTAAGGAAGTGCTGGATTTCAGTGATTTCATCATGAAGCTAAGCCATGGGAAACGGTCGAGAATCATTGTACAGCTATTTCGTCCTTGTTAGGAAGCATCAGCCGTGCTCATCTTACAAGCCCCCAGGGAGATTCGAGGCCGCGAATGAGTAGAGTAACTAATTAACGGTGTGATTACCTTACACTTAGACAGGAAGAAGCTTCAGTCATTCTGCAACCATACAGCTCTCACTTACATTGAAAGCTTCAGTCATTCTGCAACCATACAGCTCACGTCACGTGACTTACATTGAATGGCTTCTAGATTGACCGCCTGTCAGATGGAATTCCAATTCGACTTGTATGATTCCGGTCCTTTATGGGTTACTTGCCCTTCAAGGCAATGAGGAAGGAGAATACTCAAGTTTTGGTTGCATATTGATTTTCACGTGATTCACTTCGGTCGTAGACCACGTGACCATATTGCACAGACCAAACAATATTCGGAGGGATACATCATGAAGTACCCATTGGAAAGACCGAGTAACTCCACGTTAAAAAATTACGACCCTCTAACAATTTTGCTAAAGTGCTGCAGCTTAGAGAAGATACTAACCGAAGACGGCAAAGTAGGTCCTCAGGATGCGGTCCCCGTGACCCGTCTGTGCGTGGCTGGAGACGTTGCAAGAAATGGCGGCTAATCGATGTCAGTTGTGCACATGCTGTCAGTTACTTT